TTTCTGACAAAAGTCACTTGAACAGTTAGAGAAACCTACAGTGAGCAACTGGAGGGCTGAAATAAAAGTTTGCTAGGCTTAATTGATCAGTACACGCTACATACTGACTTTGCATTATGATGAACCTAGTCCAGGAAGTACTTCTCTGCAACTATGAAGGGAATTCCCAGAAGTAAAAAAGCATCCTTACGAGACTGCATGCTTGAATGCATCATAAGCACCATATCCTGGTCTTTTGTACTTGTCATCAAATACCCAGGCAGTTCTCTGGAACAGACTCTCAAGCTGCTCGTCCTTAGTGTATTCCAAGACCTCAGCAACATGGCGAAGAATGCTGTAAACCTTGAACATAAACAAATTTTTAAAAAGGGGGGGGAGGGGAAGAAATGAGGATGTCTTGTTCCAACTGCAAATTCACACAATGAGTGACTCTTACTATGAGCTTGTACAGCACGCAATTGAGTCCTTCAGATTAAAAGTCCGCAATCAAAATTGTTGCTACAAATAGACAACAAAAACAAATGAAAAAAAAAATCCAACAGATCAATGAAAAATTGCTTTGATTCCAAACGCTGCAGGATGCTGCAATATAATATCCCTCTATAATTAGCAATAAATTACATACAAAACTCTAGGAGCGTATAAAGTAGCAAACACAACTGCATTAACCTGAACCTTTACTACATGTTATGAAAATAAAATTACTCTCTCAAGGAAAATGAAACAGAAAATTCTACTGAACTGTTAAACATACAGTATTTTATTGTATGGAAAGAAAAAAGTTAGAATCGAAGTAATACTCAATGGCAAAAAATTCACTCAGAAGCATAAGAGCACACTGACTGCAAGTCTTTTCAATGAAATTTGTCCACAGCGTGCTAAACCAGTTTTTTTTTTTTTTTTGCATCTCTGATCATTAAAATATCACCCTTTACATCATAAGTTTTCAATTGACAACTCATCTATCCATTAAACAAGAAGCAGCTTAGCAGAGCATTCACAGACAGATGAACTGACCATATATGTGCATGGGTAAATGAATATCAGAGCATTCCTGATGATATGAAAACAAATTATTGTTCTCATTTAACTTATGCCTATGCATTTTTGTTGTTCAGAAAAGCAACTGAGCAAACCACAGTGTCTGAAGATAGCAGAGCAACTTACAGTCTTCGATTTTGTGAATTTGTCTTCACATTTGATTGCTTCCTCTGGAGAAACTCTTCTTTTTGACAAGTCAATATAACCTATTAGAAGAAAAAAAAAAATTTGGAAAGTGTCAGGATTATGCAAACTTTACTCTTCAAGTAACAAAAAATACACCCCATGTTCAAAAGTCTAAATGCTTCAAGAAAAAAAAGCATAAAGAACAAGGATATAGATGTTAAAGATGTCATTTTTTAGCAATACTGTTCAGTGCCATCCTACATAGAAAATACATTAAAGAACTTCAAAGATTCAAGAGTTCAGAAGACAGGAATGGACAAAAGTTAAGGCTATATGTACAATCCCAACTTTTAACCTTCTACAGTATGCATATGGTACAATCGTTACATAACTGCCATCCATTTTATAGTCAGGGTTGATGCCTTAGGGCACAGGATGAACTGTGAGGTCTAAATGCTCATCATTTAGATTTTTTTTTTCACTACCACAGACAGGTCTAGTATCATTCTTCTCTCCAGTTAAGACTCAGAAAATAAACAGAGACTTCAAAAGAAAATCCCACTTCAATACCGTTTGTTGACTAAAACATTGAATTTAAGAGTTTGAGGACTCAAACAAATCTTTACTGGTGTGACTGATCTTCATCAACCTGATTCTCAAAGGACACACAGAACAATGCTCACAAACATCACGTGGCAGGATTGTGCTCTATTTTGTTTGAGTACCTTAAGCAAAAAAAATTCCCAGCCAAAAAAACCCAAAAACCTAAGCTGCCCAGTTTATTTGCGTTTATCTTTATGATTTCAAGTTTGATACTGCCCATAATATCCCAGAATACCTTTTTCTTTGTCAACCCTTATGACCACAACACACTCATTCCTCCCAATGCGGATGAGTTTGTTTATGGAACGGATACGTCTTCTGGATAGCTCACTAAGAAGGATCATGCCTTCAATGTTGTTGTATTCCAACAGGCTGACATAAGCTCCCATTTCAGCAATGGACCGAACGTTGACCATCACTACATCTTCCACTTCTGGAAATTTATGCTGGTAGAATCTACAGCTTAGTCCTGGCATTCTGTAATTTGCGCAAAAAGAAACAAAGATGACTTAGCTCATAGTACACCACTAACCTCTCCCACAAACGTAGTAAGAAGCAGCAAGGACTAGTAAGGATAAAGAGGAACACTGAACTCTGGAACAAGAAATTGCAAATTACTTTAGGAAAACATTTCCAGAATTAGGCTCTCATAAAATACTAAATTAATTTATCTTAGTATTTAGTATTATCACAGGCTTTGCTAAGATGATCATCTTTTGCATGAAGGTAAAAAACCTTGCTACCTAGTTATTATCCACTTCGACTGTCGTATGACATATATTGCACAATACAGAAGAGACTTCATGTGGTGAAAAGGAGGTACAGCACTCTTCATTCATCTAAATTCATAATATCATGTAAAATTATAAATCAGATTTCAACAACAGGAGCACACAGAAGAGAAGAGAACTGCAGCGATAACAAACATATCTGTAAGCGTATCATAAGACAGCATGTGAAATGTTGATAAAATAACAAGCAGAGCAAAGCTTCTGTAGTACTGAGAAAGAAGAGACCCCATCTATCTCTATACTCTAGAAAATGATATTTTAAACTCAACATAAAATATTTGGAATAATTCCGTACAGAGAGAGGAAGGCTTACAGCTCCAGAGGCCACTTTTCAGAAGTCAAAGGATGCAAGAACAGCAGAACACACGCAAAAAAGAAGGCTCATGCTTCATAAACGTGCAGCGATAAGAAGAAATGCACACTAATCCATGCAGTTTCATAGGAAACTGCTTCATTTTCCTGATGATGAGAGTAATCCACACATTCATCACTACTAATCAGGCTACCCCAACTCCTTTTGTCTATGCCTAGAAGTTTGATACAGAACTATAAGATCACTCTGGATGTAGCAGCCTGTAATACCAAGTCAAACATGTTACTTCCCTGAAAGATTTAATTGCCATTTCAAAGTTTCACGCCTGATCTTCACAGCAGTGCTAACGCACTGCATCAATACAAGAATATTAAAAAGAGTAAGACGGTGATGCCAACTGCTACACAAACACGGCCAAACAATTTTGAAGAAAGTGTCCATCTTTATTTTCATTCTTCACTAACTTTGAGAAAGGAGAAAATATAAACTAGTGAAGCAATTATGAAAACAGTCCTCTAAAGGTTTCACGTAACCATAAGTTCAACAAAGAATCCCAAGACTAAAAATACACATTTTACAATTTACCTTTCCAGTCTATTTAGTGCAATTCAGATTAATCCTGAATATCTATGTATGAGACACTGAATAAACACATAGCATAAAGCAACAACCCCCAACAATGGCGAGCAAGAACAGACAACTACAGCTCTGCACAGACAGCGTTTCACTGCTCTCTCCATGGTCACAAGGCATTTATGCTGTCCTCCCATCGAAAGGGCCTCAGGGACAACACGCTACCTGCAGCCCCAAGACTGGGAATCATCTTTCCCAGACGCTGGAAATGAACGGGCAAGGATTTAAATCCACATTGCCACGAAACGACCACACAGGCCTCTGTAAGAACTGGCAAAACCAGGCTAACTTCTGGCCAGAAACTCCTCCGCTGCGGCGTCGCTGCCACGACCCGGTGCCCAGGCCGGGGAGTCACAGCCCTGGGGGCAGCACA